TTATGCGAAAAATTGTATTGCTTCATTCGAGAGTATTTAATGACCTTACAGTTCGCAGTATTTATCACGTATTTTCCTTTTTCTTTTTTTCTTCTTTTTTTCCATTGGAAACTGTGGAAATAGTAATTTAAAATTGAGAAAATACGAGACCCCGCCCCTGTGTGACGTCATCCGGTGGCATTTCCCATTAAAACACACGTTTTTCAGTAGATTCGGTTATTTCGTCATATTTCCTCCAATGAAAGTTCAATTTAGAAACCAAGGATGTTCTCGTACTCCTCTTAGCAGTTGCATCTTAAATAAATCTGAAATACACCAAATTTTAGCCATCTGCAAATTCTCCATTTGAAACGAAATTGGTGCGTACAAGTAATGTCTCATCAAGAAAAAAAATTCTCTTACATGAGGATAGCTTTCTTTTTCAGTGAAAAAGTCTCCTAATACACAGGAAACTAAATTTGACCATTTACACCAAAATTACTTTTTAAAAAAATAGTTCTAAATAGAGACGTCAGTTGAATCGAATGGAATTTCTTTCACTAAAACGCAATATTAATCAAAATTAATATCCTCGTGTGGATAAAAAATTCGAAATAAAGGTAGAAAAAAGTTTTCCCGCCTTTAGAGACAGCTCTGTTTTTAATTTTTCAAGAGAAAACTTTTCTTGCGATTTTTTTTTTTTCAGTGGCACTTTCAACGAGTAGACAGCTGGGTGAAATAAAAACAAATCGGTCGCTTTCCACTGAACGGAACTCTAATACCGGTATCAAAAGTAGTAAATCAGAGCCCTAAAATAAAATACAGACAAATAGCCGGGACGATTTGTATGCACCGAAGGTAAAAAGTCCCCACTATCTAACCTCGAGTATCTTCTCTTTTTTATGCCCGTGGTGAATTGAGCTTGTGATGAGGGCCCGGAGAGTCGTTAGGCATGCTTTTTATTCTTCTTCCCGGCGGTCTACACGTGTAATTCTTCTTCCTTTACACTAAATAAATGGGGAGAAGGGTCAGTTGTGATCAAATAATCGTCCACTTCCAGGTCAGTCGTGAGTCTCCCCGCTCGGTCGCCTTCCGCCGATGCGCTCTCTTGTCATTGCCAATAAAATTTATCGGCAAAAAGGGGGAAACAACGGCAGGAAAGGTCGCGAATATAAATCCAGGCTCGAAAGAAAGTGCTCTCGCCGGAGAAATGAAGGGCCAAGTGACCAAAAACTCCAGAACCTGTCACTCGTTGTAGGGTTCGTTCACACGATCAAACCGATGACCATGTCAAATTAGCTGTTTTGTCTAATGTGTCCAATTTTTACTTTCTCGCTCCCCTAGGGTAGAGAGGAAGTATTGTCATCCTCCAAGAAAAAAAAGTTGAAATTTCATCATTTCTAGACGTTTTAAGGTCCCAGGAGTCAAAATAACCATTGGAAAATGTGTGTCCGTCCGTGTGGCGTCCCCCAAATCTGTCTACAACGATATCTCAGAATCTATCTATTCGATTTCATTCAAAATATTCACAGAACACCATATATCTATGGTCTCCTTATGCACGTCAAACGATTTTGGGGTACGCTAAAATTTGGGGGGTTAGGCTAAATTGTCCATTTTTTTCTAATTTTTGTCTGATTTTTGCTAATTTGTTTAATTTTTTCTAGTTTGTCTAAATTTGTCTAATGTTGTCTAATTTTGTCTACTTTATTTAGTTTTGTCTAATTTTGTCCAATTTCAAATAGTTTTCGGCATTACTAAACTTAGTCATCAATGCTTGTTGAAACCCATTAGGAGCATGATTCTTGCTTGAAATTAGTGTTTCTGCTCGACAAAAACAAGCACCCATGGTCGTAGCGTATTGTCAACATCTTTGTCTCAAATTAAAGGAAATTCTTTCAAATTGGAATTCTGAATCTTTCGCAAATTTTATGATAGATATTGCTTTAAATATGCACCATAATCACAATGCTACACACTGATGAAACATTTTCTTGAGCTACTATTTTGACTATAAGCGTCGTTTCTTGTTTACAAAATTTGGGTTTTTTCGGTAAATTTCTGCTGAAAGTCAACGCTTTAAGTCAAAATAATATCTCCAGAACATTTTTTTCCAGTACATTTTCGTAAGTAAAATTTTGACAGCGATACATTGCTGTAAAATACCTAATTAGTGCTCCGAAATCACGGGTGTGAAACAACTCAACGATAGTGATTTTGAGGCAATAATTTGTGCACTAATTAATTTAAACTGTGGCATAAATTTCATGATCAAAAACTGCTAATTTAAGAGGGTCTTTTTTTCCAGGTAGAAAAAATTTGCAAATAATTATGAGATCGCACAGTAATAGACCGAAAAACTATTGAAGAATACGCCGATCATCAGATTATTGATCATACGTTTTGGCGACATCTCTGTAAAAATGTACCAGCCTTATAAGGTCATATCAATGGAGTTTAAACTAACGGACAAGTTAATGGAAACTTATCAGACATATTATCTTGTTATATTATTATCACATGATATCCATACTGATGAAGTGTTGAAAATTTTATTGAGATTGTTCTCCTTCGGGTATGCAATATTCCTAGTTGAGCTTCGCTTTAGGTACCTATAACTATAATCATCGATATTAAGTGGTAAAATAAAATCAACGAGATTTTTTATCAGAGGCTGTTAAACTTTTACATTCTATTTGAACTATCATTTCATCTATCAAAAGAGTGTGTGACAAAAACTTACTACGTGTGACATTCAGTCATAGCTTACTGAAATCATAATAATTTAAACATGAGAATGGCTCTTTATTCTCCCATCGTCGTTCTAATTATGAGTGATAAGAAAGTGGATGTAAATAGAGAAAAATAAATAAGTTTTATTGAAATTTTCTAAGGAACTATATTCTTCCCCGAATTTGAACGCAAAATTTATGGGTTTTCTTATCTTTTAGGTAATTGCACTACGCCAAGTCAAGACACAACACCAAAAAGAGCAACTTGATCTCGAATAAGAGGAAAGATAAGGAGATCTCGGTACTTTGAACCGATTTCCTGATAAACTGTGCTTTTTCAGGTCTTACAGGCTATACATTAAATATTATCGTCATTAGAAAAAAGAACCATAATCGTGAAGACATTAAATTGAGTTAGACGAGTGATCTGCAAAAATTTAGATAAAATATCCGCCAAAAATGCAGAGTGATGCCGGTCTGAAGTTTGCAGTTAAAAGAACGAAGTTTTAGGGAAAGAGTTTTGTAAAATTAGGTTTAATGGATCGAGAATTTTAGGAAGTTAGTATAGCTCTAGCCATACAAATCTAATTTTCCATCTTCGGTGTACGAATTTATCTATTTAATCTATTATAACTGAACGTATGTAACAAAAATTAGCCTTACTGCATCAAACTTTGTATAATTTCCTCTCGTGTTTTATTCTTTCATCCAAAAATAATCAATACTTAGTCCAACTTGAAATTTTCTGAGATTTTCAGAAAGTTTCCGGGCATTCTTTTGCTCTTACCGTTGATATAAGATAATACAACTTGAAAGGAAACTAAGGAGCATGATAAATGTTGCAAAGTTTGTTCTAGATAATCTGTCCAATTTAACTTTGCACCCTCATTAGGTACCTAAAGAAACTGGATAACTTTCGAACTCATTTTTTAGGATGCGAAAAAGAGTTTTTCGTCAAAATAATCTTTAAAATTCGATTCCTTGACTTAACTAGACAAAAATCCCTCTACTTAAAATTTTGTCTCGCGGATTGAGGCAAATTTTCTATGGACGGCCTGACATGCTTAATGCCATCAATGCCATAAGTACAGTAGTTACATGAAACAAGTTTTCAACTTAAGCAAATGGTCAAATATTCTCACTCAGATTGAAACTTTGAATATTTCTCTTATTTCGACTATAGAATACTTTGTAAACGCAAGAAGAAATTATCAGGTGAATCTTGGACACTTTAAAGACCGCGCGTATTTATTTATTGAGCTCTAGAATTAACATTTCTGCTTGGCATTATTTTAGCAAATGCAACGTGCTCACAATTTTACCTTCTACAAATAAATGAAATGATAAAATTTCGTAATCTGAAAAGTATACACGTTTAAATTTTTCGAAACTTGAGAGTCCCTTGACAAAGGATTGAAAAACTTGTTAAATCTTCAAAAACGTAACCGACTCCCTACAGGCATTAAACAAGATGTGTGCAATTTTAGTGGGAACTTTCCGATCCCAGGAAAGTGGGATTTTCCCAGGATTGATCCCAATAACTCCCGTCGTAAACCTACAACCAGGGGAAAGTATTTATTACAAAAATACACACTCATACACATGAAAATGATTGTTCCTCACACTTCCAAGCGAAGACGTTTCCGGGAACTTTCCTGATGATTCCTGGGAACTTTCCCCACATAATTACCGAAAACTCTTCCTGTAATTCCTAATAATTTTTCCGAGAAATTCCCGGAACGGAAAGTCTCACTGTAATCCCTGGTGACGTTTCCAATAACTTTCGAAAACGTTCTCTATTATTCTCGGTAACCTTCTTGATAATTTCTGTGAACTTCCCCTGTAGTTCCCGCGAACTTTTCCGACGACTTTTCCGATCATTCCTGGGAGCCTCCCTTATAATTACCGGAGACTTTCCCAGGAAACTTTAATCCTTCTGTACTGTATCGCTAGTCACCGAACTGGAAGTTCCGAACTCAAATAGAATAGCGGCTCGGAGGTTCGGGCACAAAATTAGTACCGTACATCTAAATAAATTTCACTGAAAAAAAAGAGAATCTTGAATTTGCCGCCACGAAGTATTTTTTCTTAAATCAAGAATTTTTCTGCTCAATATAAACTACTTTTTATGCTTAAACCAAGCCTTATTTTCCTTGCATCAAGAAAAAATCAGCTTAAATCAATATGAAAACAATTCTTGGCAGCAAATTCAAAAATCTTCATGCTTGAGCCAAGCGCACCTTTTTTTTCAGTGTTCGCTTTAAGGTGTACAAAATAGTCTCGACTTACCTCCAGGAAACCTATGCGGGAAGATGCGTCCATGCCTGGACAAGAGCCACGGGTACAGGGGGTAGGTATCCCTGGGCGGCGGGTGCGAGGGGTGATGACTAGAGGGCATGAGGGCCGGCGCCCCCGAGGTCGGGGGGTGCGCCGGGAAGGACCCGTTGTTCAGGAGCTGCTGTTGGAAGTGCTGCGCGGCGGCCGCGGCCAGAATATGGTGTCCGGGGTGGACCAGGGGCTCCGGCCAGAGGCCCTTCTGGAAGCCGGGCACGTGGCCCGGCGGCAGGGCCGACGGCCGGATGACCGGCGGTGGCGACCGGCCTGGGTCCAGGGTCGGCGACACGGACCGACTCGACCGGTGCGACTCGGGGGAGGAATTCACCCGGATCCGGTCGTCCATGGGGGAGGGCGTCCGCGACATGGAGTCGCTCCTCGGGGAGGAATTGACCGAGAGGGAGGTTTTTTGGTTTTGGTTCTGGTTCTGGTTCTCATTGCTCCCGACGATGCTGTCGATGGAGAAGCCGATTTTGGGTTTGGCCGGCACCGCCACGATCGGGGTGGGTGCTAGAGGCATCATTGCCTGGGGTCTCTGTTCCCGCACACGACGAGGGTTCAAGTCCTAACCGCGCACATTCTCGCCGGTTTTGTACCGCTTCATCCCCGAACACGAATTGCACTTCGGATCGTCGCCACTGATTAGGAGGATCTCATACGTGGGGATGCTGGGGAATAAGTCTACCCGGCGTCAAAATTGCACTAAACTTAAACGGCGTGATTTAGAATATTCCTATATAGTTATATATATAATTATATATATATATAATGTAATTATATATATTTATTGGAGATAGTTAAAGTCTTCAGGGTTTTTCTTCTTTAGGAACTTTTGGTTTATAATTAGACGATTACACCGGGGGAAATTTAACGTGAATATAACACTGATGAGCACGAAGAACTTGAGACGGGGGCGTTCCACGTAACTGAGATGAAAATCGTCGGGAGATTTCACAGCAGTCAAGGGAAATTTGAAAAACTTCGATAGGAACTAGTTTGATATTGGAGAACAATTGAGAAATACACTGATGGAGAGAGGGTGGGAAAATAAAGTTGCAGGGCCACTGACAATTCGACCGCTTGAAATTCGCTGCGTAACACTACGGGTGGCAGTTGCACGATTTGAAGTACGGTTCTCCTCGGGGTTGAAACCGGGGTTGAAGAATAATTATCACGAACTGAGTCCGGTCACTGATTCGGTTCACTGTAAATCCTGGCTCGTCGGTGTAAGAAAGCCTCTTGAGAATCGGGGGTTCGGTGCGCGACTGGCGAGGAACACTAACACAAAGCGGAGCAATTAGGTGGCACTGGCACTCGGGGTGGCACTTGGAAGTGGCACTCGGGGGAGGTATAATCCACGGCGCACGCACAAGGCACAACGCGGAACCCAGGAACGCGGAGCTAATCGGTCCAATGTCGACTGACCAGCACTTAGGAACAAATTGATGCTAATGCCTGGCCTGGCGCTGGGCCGGGTGGGGGCCCGTTGAGGGGGAGGGGGCGAGGCGGGGCCCGCGGGCGGGGCCCAGCGAGGCCCCGCCCCCCGGCGCGCGATTGGCCCGCGCCGCCGAGCGAGATGTAGATGTCACGGCGCGGATAATATCCTCGTTTATAACGCCGCGACTGAGCCGCGGCCGTATCTATTGAAAAGATGTAAAAAACAATTTGTGCTCCGGGTCTTTTTATGTCTTTTCACACTCGCAGCTCGCCATTCGCTATTCGCCGTTCGCTATTCGCGGTGTGCGAGATTGTGCCCGATCCGATTGCTATTCCTGCTCCGGAGTCGCTCCGTAAACAGCGGGCTGATTGTTGGAATTGGTAGACAAAGCGATAGACAAAGAAGACGTGGGGAGGATGGAGCGATCCTATTGGTTAATTTGGGTGGTTCTCATGGACTAGAGTCCCTTTATACTGAGAGTCAAGACAATATGAATCCATTTCTGATTGGTTCCCGTATTTTAGGCCTTCACAGCGTCACAAACGGGAATAAAGATTACATTTTCACCGACTGCAAAGATTATATTCTGGAATGGACCAGGGAATTACGGGTTCGGCGAGGAACAAACGGAATGAGAGTAGTAGTAGTAAAATAATTTTATTTTAAAGCGGTGCTTTAGCATCTAAGGCCATTTACACCTCTAAAGAGGGCAGTAACAGTAATAAATTTACATGGAAATATCAGTAAAAATACAAAACGGTTGAGGGGAAAGGTTAAATTTTGAGATTAGTGGAGCGCATAAATTCAAAAAGTTTTACAGGATGAGTATTCAGAAGTAAATTTTTAAGAGAGGGTAAGGGGTAGGGAAAAAAACGTTTTCGGATATCTTTATAAAGTGGGCAACTTATAAGAACAGAGAAGGAACGGAGAAAGGAATTTGAGAATGGGCCGATCAAAGATTACGAAAAAAGTTCAATTTCTATAATCTTTATTCCCGTTTGAGACTTCATTAAGGGATGTTGTATTGACTCTCAGTATAAAGGGACTCTATCATGGATGAAGAGAGAAAATGATGGACCAGGGTGGCATGAAACGTAAGAAAGAAATAAAAGATTGGAAGTTTCAGTGAAATAAATTCTAATTTAGCTAAATAACTTGATTTAAACTTACTTCTAAATTCTCTTTTAAACTTTGGTTATCTAGTTATTCTATTAAATAATTTAAATGTAATCCACTTCATATTTAAAAAAATATGTGTTGACTTGATTTTATGAGTTTCACGAGGCTGTGAAATATCATGAACTATTTCGTGAAATTTACGGAACTGTATGTGCATTATAAGACATGAGCCCGTGCATAACAGGGCTTACACCATAATGCACATAGTTCCGTTTGGCAGAAATACGTCCAATTTAAGTATCTCGGGGCGTGCATTATTTTTTCCATCGACTGTTACTTTCAAATACTTCATCAATGAAATTATGTATGTGAAATAATGTAATCATGTTACATTTTTAATGCATAATTCAGTTTTTTCTTTAAAGAACTGATCTAAGAAATGCATCGTTTATTAAGGATGAAAGGGGGGAGGGGACGAAACACAATACATGTGCCGTAAAGAATTTCACGTATCAGGTGGATCCATGGCTCATTCATTACCAAGTTCGATAAAAAAAAAAAAAAAAAAAAAAAAAAAAAAAAAAAAACGATTGCTTTCTGATATATAGACGTAGCAAATAGAGAAGAATTCGGATATACAAATTCTATATATTTGTTCGTGTTGGTATATTTTTTATTTTATTTTTTTTTCTACTATGAAGCCCTTGAAACAAAGACCACTTCTTTTTCAATAGCAATTTCTGGGTTAAATTTTGGAGGAACTAAGCCCTACGGCAAGGGTATGAACGCTATCGTTTCCCCTTCAATTTTTGAAGTAGACCAAAAAAATAAACTTCTTGCAGCAATATCACTAGTTATCTAATCAAAGATTCATGTAGTAACGTCTGCAAATTTTATCTCGCATTGGATTGTTTTCAACTCCGTCTGACGATTTTCAGACTACAGCTCTGGTTTAAATTCACATTTCTATGATAAAAAATATAATTAAAATAGATATTTGCTTTCTTTTCATGCATGCAGAAACACTACCTACTATATTGTAACTATCATAGACTAGTTCAATGGCAAAACGTGAATGATCGATTATCGATATTTCCCCATTTGAAGCTATGGTAAACATTCGATTATTAAGGTGTTCCTTGCGAACACCTTGTCTATCGATCCTTTTCCATAGGTTCAAAGGCAGATCGATCTATAAATCTCAAAGCATGCCACGCCACTGGACTGGACAGTCGCATGCATTTATTTATTCATTTATTTCTGTTATTATCTATTTTTTGACTGTATAAATATATTTACAGTTTTTCAAAGAAATTATCATCATTAGATTTTCCGCTGATAGAATCTTTTCTAGTAAATAGAGATTGAATCGTATAATGCTTGAATATAGTCTTAATGTACTAAATTACACAAATATAATTAAAATGGGTTAAAAGGAGTTTTGAGTGTTTTTTTTTCATTCATCTCGTAGCAAAATAACAAAATTATAAACGCGTGTGAAAAGGAAAATATGCGATCACGAAAATTTTACGAGCAATATGAGTACATATAACTTACTATTTCTGCGCACCAACCTGTAACACAAACAAATTATACTCACTGAATTTTTAATTGCTTGAAGTAAAAAGGTGTTTTAACATGTGTGGCTACTAGCACATTTGTTAAGAAGCAGGTGTAAATTACTGCTTCGCAAGAAAAAAGAGAGAAAGAAAGAAAGTAGTAGTCGTAGTAAGATAAGTTTCTTTTAAAGCGGTGCTTTAGCATCTAATGCCATTTTCACCTCTGTGTGTTTACATGGAAATCAAGGTTACATCTGTGAAAATACAAAAGGATTGAGGAGGAAGGTTAAGAAAGAAAGTAGTAGTTGTAATATAAGTTCATTTTAAAGCGGTGCTTTAGCAACTAAATGAGGGAAGAAACTTGACAACTTGCGTAAAATCTAGATATACTCCGTCTATAAAATTCCTTCAAATAATGCAGATATCGGCGGCTGACTTCTGTAAGTAGCGAAAATTGTATCCAATTGGATTGAAGGCGTTTCACAAGTTCTCGATAAAGATCTGGCGTCAGTCAATCGTCTGCCATGTGGGTCTTCCATCCATTCGACTTACTTAGAATCGTCAAAACTTAAAACTATAATAAGCATTTGTTCTGTGATTCATTACCTGTTTTCAGTTTTTTTTTTTTTTTTTTTTTTTTTTTTTTTTTTTTTTTGTGAGGTGATTGAGCGCGAAAGAACAATTTTCTATGCGTCCCGAAGCATACAAGTTAGTGTTTGGTCTACCTTTTTTTGGACCTTACGGACAAATTTTTCATATGAATAAAAGCGCAAAAATGAATAAAAGTCTTTTGACCATTTTCTCACAACTGTCATTTCTTATGAATCGTGCTCTTTCTTAGCACTGCAGTACACCCTGAAGAATATTCCTTCTCTCATTTTATCTATTGATTCTCAGTTTTTAATATTTCTCATTGGCGAATATTTCCATTGCATTGATCTTCTCACCACAGCATAGATTACTCATGAGCGAATCGAAGTCAAAAGTCGATGCAAACAATAAACTAAACGGAGAATGAATCGCCTTTCAAAACAAGAGGGAAAAATATAAAACACTCTTAAGCAGGAGAAGTTGCAGCTAGATAAAATGAGGGCGCTACATGCTCCATCTTGATCGTGAAACGCAACTGAAAGGGGACGCGGTATTAAATGTGAACCATCATCTCAAAACTCCCTCATTTGTGAACTTTTCTCCACAGTTGCATATATTCATTGCACTGCGTGTTACCTATTTTTCTGACACATGGGACTCACTTTGTTGAATGTTGTTCAAAATTGGCATTTATCGATCATATGATGTAAAAATATTGCAATTTCATGGTGAAAAGAAAAATTCGCAATTTGATTGAAAGAAAGCGCAACTTTATTTCAGTACTTCCATTGCATATAGTACTACTCGGGATCAGGTTGGCAAAAAATCAGTACTTTCAAAGCACTTCATCGGTGCTTACCCAAAAAATTTAGAAAGTCTTTCAGAGATTTTTTTTTTTTTTTTTTTTTTTTTTTTTTTACATAATTGATTCATTAAATGCCGCCACTACCTACTTTACAATAATGGTATCTGTCAGCTATGTTTAAGGAGTATATAAGTGTTAATAGTGGCTAACGTGTAGTTCTATCATTAGATTATTTCTATGGTACATAGTTGTATAAATAGTTTTCCACTTTTTTAAGGTCTTTTAGGGGAAAAATAGTGGACAACTTCTTATCAATTTTCATGACTGAAATTGTTAGAGAATGGGGGTTTACCGGGTTAAAATCCTGAAAATTTTCCGGAGACCCCCCCCCCCCCCCCCCCCCCCCCCCCCCCCCCCCCCCCCCCCCCCCCCCCCCCCCCCCCCCCCCCCCCNCCCCCCCCCCCCCCCCAGAACATTATCCTGCATACGAGCAATGGCGTGGCGTGCTTTGCGATATATAGATTGTTATGCCATTCAAACCTATGGAAAAGGATCGATAATCAGGGTGTTCGCAGCGAACACCTTAGTAATCGATTCTTTTACCATAGGTTTAAATGGCAGAACATCGATATATCGCAAAGTACGTCACGCCACTGGTGTAAAGTTCTATCTCTTCAAATGGTAGGTCACCATGAACAGTGAATCACAATAGTGGGGAAGTCAAAGGTATCATCGCAGCAAAAAATGAAAGTGGTTGAAGCTCTTTCCTCATACATCCTGGACTGCAAAGACGATGTGTTGAAATCCGGGCGTTACCATATTTCTTCCGATAAATTAAAAATTAGCCGGATTAATTTCTTTAAATTTGGCAGACAATTATTTTCGCGGTAGAATCTGGCGTATCTTAATATTT